GAGGAAACTTAGGATGTTATCATGATGACCTTACTTAATAATTTTGACCCTCTGAGAACATTACCTCTATAGGGACCAACTTTACTGAGTAAGTAACAGCTTGGGTGAGGTATTCATAGTAACCTTCGAGACTTCAAAACTCTATAGGAAAACCACTACTAACCTCTACTAACATATGATATTTGCAGACCCAGGTAAAGGCCCAAAATGTGTGTGTTAAATTGTGTAAGTGCACAGTGTGTGATCAGAGCATGCAAGCATGTTATCTTATTCCTATATGTTGCCCAACCTTCATCTGTTAATCAAGTCAAATAAAGAGACAAATATATGTACAAATAAAAGTTTTCTATCCTAGAATTTATTTTATATGTTATCTATTCTAAGACATGTTAAACGAAAAAAGAGAGAAGAGGAAAAGAGGGGGAAAAAAGCACACACAAATCCAAAAGGATAATAATAATAATAATATATTATATTTGGAGTATAACAAACTTATATTGGCTTAACTTTCTAACCTTTCCTAACAGAGTCGCCAAACTGTCACACCTAAAACTTACACTAAAAACTCCCTGGTCTTTATGCCATTAAACTCCTTGATCTAGCTGTGCTTCACATGACAGTCCTTAGGGGCGTAGGACACCAACTTCACTCTTTTTTTAGTTCTCTCGGTCCTCTCTTGCTCCAACCTCTTCCTTGGTTCCTTCTTATCCTCGATCCCCTTCTCAGACTCTCCAACCCATCTCCATGATAATCACCGTCATAAGAACTTGTCTGCCATAGTCCGACTGTGACTGAGAGAGAGAGAGAGAGATGAAAGATCTGTGCGACGTTGAACGAACTCAGACTAAGAGGAAATGAGGCAAACAAACTCAGGTGGCTGTGATAGATTCTCCACCCGAACCCATGCGACTGAAGGAAGAAGAAGATGATGATCTCATTCAGTCCAAACCCACATGCGCATGCATGCTTCTGTTTTTGCGTTTTCTTCTTTACTATAAATGTGCTGTTAATCCCTTCATTCCTTTGCTTGTGTGTTTGAATGTTGATACATATCTGAATACCTTCATGGCAGAGTGCTCGATCGCTCTCCTCTCGCTCTCTCAGCTCCAACCTCCAGGAGCAAATACCAAGTCCTTCTTTTTTCATTTCTGTTCCTACTGCCCTCTCTTTAAAGAGCTCAACTCCCTCTTCTCTCTCCTTCATTCTCAACACAAGAAGAGTCCCTGTTTTTCACTGAAGCTAGGGATTTTTATTGTCGTGCACGACTCCCTCTTCTGCTCTTCTCACTTTTTTCTACGTTTGGTCTGAGTCTGCTCTCTCTTTTTTTCTTTTCTTCTCTGCATTTCTGCTGTGTGGCCGAAAGGCTTGCTTTCTGCATCTGCATGTGCGTTTACTCTCCGTGTTTCTCTTCTGCTTTTCTTCTGTGTTTCGTGTATGCCTCTGTTTTGCTGTGTGTGCTCTCTCTTTTTTCTTTTCTTCTCTGTGTCCGTGACTGCATTTCTCTGCTCTTTCATCTCTGGAATGGCTGAAAGCCTTTAGGGCTTGCTCTCTGCGTCTTTCGCTCGCACAGGTAAAGCAGATAGGAAAAGGAAAAAACTTTGTCCAAGCTCGTGTGCTTTCTGACTTCGTCTCTTTTTTCCGTGTTGCTTGCTGCCTTCGTGTCTACTGTCTGCTCTTCTGCATTTTTATTTCTCTCTGTTTTCATGCGTGTAGCCAGAGTAGTTTAAGGAAATAAGGGTAAAATGCTGCGTTCTGACCGAAAGAAGGGTTAGGAACTGATGAGCGTTTAACCTTCGGTTTGTGTGTGTGTGTGTGTGTATAACCATAACTCTTTTTTTAATTATGTTTATTAATTTCAAAAATTAGATTAAGAGGAAAAAAGATTTGGTCTTAGATCAAACAAATATATTTTTTAAAAAAATATAATTCTAAAAAAAATTAAATTTTGTTTTTTTATTTTTATATTTTTTTAATGAATTAAAAGAAATAAAATCCTAACCAACAAAAGATTATCTAAAATAAAATTAAACCCTATTAATTAAATATTTTTTATTTTAAAAATATAATCCTAAAAAGAATTAAATTTTATTTTTATATTTTTATATTTTTTTGTTGAATTTATTATTATTTTTATTAAATTAAAAAAAATGTCCGGATAAAATATAGTGTTCACAATTCTAATTCGATCACTTTGAGTGCTCTCAACACTGAATGAATCTATGTTTGATTTTAATTTTTTATATGAATTTTTCATCTCTGGTGGCTGGTCTAGAAAATAAATATTGTTATGTTTGCTTTCTTTGTGTGTTTGTTCAATGCTGTATTGGCATTGCCACATAGATGTTGCTGGAAATGCTAAACAAATTTGTAATCACTGTTGGAAATGCAGTAGCTTTTCTATTTTCCTTTATAAATTTTTAATTGTTGTGTTATATTTATGTTTAAGAGTTTGAAATGGAGTGTCAAAATTTGACTGCAACTCTTACTCCTACTAATGCATCTCCTTTTATATCATCCACTCTTAGTGATAGAGCAACTTCCCTAAGACCTATTGCTGCTCCTACTCACACTCCATCTGGACCATTCCCACTCCCAAAAAGTGATAATAATCAACCTCAACCTCTATCCACCATAGCAAAAGCTCCTCAAGAAGCATCATGTAGGGGTAAAAAAGAAGAAGAATCAGAACCATCCAAAAGAGATAGGAAGGCAGTTAGGACATCACTTGTTTGGTTTTTTTTTAAGAGATTACCATTAGAGGATATAAATGGGGAGCATAGAGCAAAGTGCAAATATTACAACATCACATATGCTTGTGATCCAATCAAGCATAGGACAAATTCTCTAAAGAAGCATATACCAAAATGTCCCAAGAATCTACACAAGGCAACAATAGATAAAAAGCAATCCATGATGAATTATGTATCAGTTGGTGGTGGATCAAAAGGCTGAGGAAGGGGCCTAGTCCCTCATATGTATAATCAGAAGCAATGTCGAAGGGCCCTTGCAGAGTTCATAATTTGTGATGAGCAGCCATTTAAGCTTATGGAGAAGCCCGGATTCAAGAAATTGATGCATGAGTTAAAACCATGATTTCCAATCCCATCAAGAGTAACTATTGCAAGAGATTATTGGCAGCTCTATCTAAAAGAAATGATAATGACATTTGTGAAGAAGTATGCTAATCGTGTCTGCATAACAACAAATTGTTGAACATCAAATCAAAACTTCAATTACATGTGCATGACTGCCTACTTCATTAATCATGAATGGATCCTTCAAAAGTGAATTCTCAACTTTTGCATGATTGAAATCATAAAAGTGACATAATAGGAAAGATGATAGAGTAATGTCTGATGGATTGGGGGATTGGTAAGGTCTTTACAATAATCATGGACAATGCATTGACAAATGACTCAACTCTTTCATATCTCAAGATGAGGATTAAAGCTTAGAAGGGTCTAGTATGTGGTGGGGATTACTTACAACTAAGGTGTTGTGTGCATGTGCTCAATTCGGTGGTGATTGAAAGCTTAAAAGAATTGAAAGAGAGTTTTAATGCTATTAGAAATATTGTGAGATATGTGAGGTCATCTCCTTCAAGGTTTTTAAAATGTATAAATTGGTTTGAAGGAGAAAAATTAGACACGAAGAGCCTTGTGTGTTTGGATGTCACTGTAAGTTAGAATTTCACTTACTTAATGTTAGAAGCTTGAAGTTCTAAAAAGTGTTTGGGAGGACGCATGATGAATATGATGACTATCGTGCACACTTTAACATAGATGATTCTCGCACCTCTAGGCGTGAACGTGAAGATTCTCATCCTCGGCATTAATGTCCTAATGAAAGAGATTGGAGTAAAGCACTTGTCTTTCTCAAGTTCCTCAAGGTATTTTATGACATCACTTTAATGTTCTCAAGCACACTTTCTATGACATACCACACATACTTCCACCAAATTTCATGTGTTAAGCATTTGTTGCAAAAAAACATATTGTCAATTCTAATCCTCTCTTGAGAGACATGAGCATGAGCATGCAGACAAAGTATGATAAATATTGTGGAGATACAGATAACATGAATCCTTTTGTTGGTAGTTGCGGTGATTTTGGATCCTAGGTACAAATTGGCTTATGTGAATCACATTTTTGATAAGATTTATTATAATCAAGAAATATGTGAAACCATGAAAGCAAATGTGAAAGATTGCCTATATCGTCTCTTTGAAGAGTACTCTACAGGCCTATCTTTTCAATCTAGTGTGACCCCCTCTTCATGTGGAACATCTAATGTGGGTAGACAAATTGTTGATGATGATGATGACCTAGGTCTTGAGTGGTTAGAAACTCAAAAGCAAATGCTTGATGATCGTCAAACAGAGTTGGAAAAAATCTAACAACTAAATTAGCTGATGAGATGATTCCTCCTTGTAATGATTTTGCTATTTTGTCATGGTGGAAAGCAAATGCCACTAAATACAAAGTGCTATCTATGATGGCATCAGATGTGTTGGCCATTTCTGTATTAGTACAGTTGATCAGTATAGGAGCTCATTATCTCCTCAAATGATTAAAGCACTTATCTGTGCTCAAAATTGGCTGCTTCTTAGACAATTTCTATCGTATTTGGCTAATAAGTTGTGTGAATTTGATAACTTTGGGAAGACAGATAATACTATTCAATCTAGCAATGCTTTCTTTGTATTTTTGTTTCCCCTTAATTTCTAGATTATAAAAACCTTTCTAATTTGATTCTTGTTTTATTTATTTTTTTTAAATGCTTCAACTATCATTGAGGGGGGACAATATGATATTATGATCAATGATGCTTGATTGAAGGGAGGACAAGAGGATTGGGTGATTTATGTTTGCTTCATTACTATTATGTGTTACTTGTGATTGTGTGTTTGTTTGTTGGAACTTGGAAGTTGGAATCTGGACAATATCTGTTTGTTGAGTCTTGGTTTATGTTTGTGTTGGGCTTAATTACTGGTTGGAACAATTATGTATCTGATGAATGTTGAATGTTTTTTAATTATAGGCAAATTTCAAGAAGCCAAATTGGGCATCTCAGCTCACATCTGCCTTAGTTGTCCGATCTTGCCCACCTGCCTTTCTAACTTCGAGCATTTTTCGAGCATGGGCAGGCATCAGGCTTAGTGTTGTGCCTGAAGGGGGTTTAGGGTTGGGCAATGGGCACGGAGGTTGCCTGCAACCCTGCCTATATACAGCCCTAGCTATTTTCGTAACATGTTAACAAATAAGCCTTGAATCTCTCTTTACTTGTAGCTAAAAAACTATGGAAGAAGAACGTTTGGTGTTGGTCCATACATTTTAAAGAACGTTTGGTTGGTCTTGTTCATTGCTTTCACTGGGCCCAACGCAACGACCAACTAACGACTTCGCTTCCTCCTAACAGACATGGAGGCCACACTGTGCCCTGAAACGTTTCGCAAATTATTGCTTCTCTTCTTCTTACTCTGCTTTAATTTCTTCTTCTGCTTCTGAAGCCGACGAGTGGGATGAGCAGATTGGCGGACATGGATTGCGTGTACAAAAATCCCAGTGAATCCATTGAAGCTCGTGTCAAGGACCTTCTTTCCCGAATGACTCTGAAGGAGAAGATTGGCCAGATGACCCAAATCGAGCGTCGCGTTGCAAACCCGTCCGTCATTAGGGACATGTCTATTGGTAGTATTGTCTCTTACCTTTTTATCCTTCAAAGACTTGAATATCAGTAGTTTTCTGGTTCTGACATTTGCCTTCTATTTCTTTGAAGGGAGTATCCTCAGTGCTGGAGGTAGTGGGCCTTTTGAAAATGCACTATCTTCGGATTGGGCTGACATGGTGGATGAATTTCAAAAGTCAGCTCTCGAGTCCAGATTAGGCATACCGATCATATATGGGATCGATGCAGTTCATGGTAATAATAGCATATATGGTGCCACTATATATCCTCACAATGTTGGCCTCGGGGCTACTAGGTTCGTGCTTTCCCTTAAACTTGATGAATACTCGTAATCCATTTTTACTAATTTGCAAGTTCTAATTCTGTTCTGTTTTTTTTTTTTTTCCTGCCAAAAATTATAAAGTTGCTTGATGTTTGCTAAATATACTCGAAGGGATTGGTAGGGAGCATGATTGCTTACTTCACCAGAATTGATGCTATAACGCCTTGCTTATATCACAGCATTTGAATTAATATATAAATGTCGTTGTTCTTGAGAATTGGGTCCTCATTTCTTACTTGTGGCTGCTTGTAGAGATGCGGATTTAGCTCAAAGAATTGGGGCTGCAACAGCACTTGAAGTTAGAGCTAGTGGAATTCACTATTCTTTTGCTCCTTGTGTTGCAGTAAGGCATCATAATTAAACCGTATTATACACTTATTAGATAATCATGCTAAGAAACCAGCGTATATGTTAGTACTGTAGCAATGCTTGAAATAATGAGCACTTTTGTCCGATTATATGACCTGTCATTCCCTTCTGCTGCACTTGTTCGTCTTTTTTTTTTTTTTTGGCACAGTCACATTCACTATTTTTTATCAGTGACTAGTGGCATTTAATCGACGTGGTTAACTAAGATATATTTATGTCATCTACCATATTTATTTCGCCATTTCCATTGGAACGATTCTGTACAAATGATAGATAAAATCATGCCTCACTTAACTGAACTAATGAACAGGTTTGCAAAGATCCTAGGTGGGGAAGATGCTATGAGACTTTTGGCGAAGACACTGAAATAGTCAGAAAAATGACCTCCATAGTTTCAGGGTTGCAGGGCCAGCCTCCAAAAGGACATCAATACGGTTATCCGTTTGTGGCTGGAAGGTAGAGAAAAACTATTACAATGTACCCGGAGAAATATTTTTTTCTATGGAAATGTTGATGACATAAATATCTGGTACCAACCTAATTACCAATTTACACTGATGTCTACAGCAGGATGACTTCATTTTTTCTGCTTTTTTTGGTTTATTTTTTATAATTTTTTTGGATTTTTTTTTTTAATTTGTAGTCTAGGCATATGATTTTTCCAAGATCGACTCGTGCCCTAGAAAAGAATTTTTCCATTTCAGACTTTTTTTTGTTACTTCGGTGATGATTTTTTTTTTCCCCAAATTCCCCAGTTAAACACTTGGCCACTTACTTTATCACGCAGATCTTGGCATTGATTATGACATTTTGGAGAACTTACCAAATTGGGGTCATACATCCGTCTCTGTCAAAATTGTTCACTTATATGCTATCAATATTTCAGGAACAAGGTTATTGCCTGTGCCAAGCACTTTGTTGGAGATGGAGGTACTGAGAAAGGCAAAGATAAAGGAAATACGGTATTATCATATAATGAGATGGAAAGAATCCACATGACCCCTTATTTGGACTGTATTTCACAAGGGGTTTCAACCATTATGATTTCTTATTCAAGTTGGAATGGAAGGAAACTCCATTCTGACCATTTTCTCATCACTGAAATTTTGAAAGAAAAGCTGGGTTTTAAGGTAAGATAACCATAATTGGAATAAGTGGTGAAGTTATTGCTGTCTTTCCTGTTCTGTCTCTTACCTAAAGTGGATAAAAGACTCCTTTCAGTTCTTTCAAAAAATACCTACTCTAACTGAAGTTCTTTTGCTTTTTCATCTGTTTCACCTCATTTGAATTGATCATCTTCTTCAATTTATACCATTGGCTCTGCTATAGGGTTTTGTAATTTCTGATTGGGAGGGACTTGAATGGCTTAGGTCAGATTACCCAAACTGCATCCCTTCTGTGTCAGATTACCGAAAATGTATCTTGTTAGCTGTTAATGCTGGAATTGACATGGTATGGATCGTCGATTCTGGAAAACTTTACCATGGTTTTCTTTTTTCTTGTCCCCTTCTTTTCCTTCATCTTTTCAAGAAAATTTGCAGGTGATGGCACCTTATAGATTTCAACTGTTTATGGAAGAGTTATCCTCCCTAGTAGAATCAGGGGAAGTACCCATAGCTAGAATTGATGATGCTGTTGAGCGAATATTGAGAGTGAAATTTGCTGCTGGACTTTTTGAATCCCCTTTGTCTGACAGGTCTTTGCTGGATATAGTTGGTTGCAAGGTAAGAATAATTCAACATATTTTTAAATTCCCTTCACAAATTTAGGCTGATTTATCATTTTAAGATCTTGCCATATAAACAAATCTGATGGAGCTCAATTTGTTTCAATTAATCTCCTTTGTTTAGCCATAATTTAAACATTGGATGTTATCTCTTCAGTTTCACTTGCACATCGCACTGAATTTTGAATTGGTTTTCAAGTTCTGTGTTGTTAGACTTAAAGCTTGCTTGTAAGTTTTAATGTTATATATATCCTTTGCAAGTTTCCAACAGTTCGATGCCCATATTCAATTTCCTTTATGAAGAATTTCCATCTCTCTTTTGTGGAAATATTTCAATGATCAAGAATGACTGATTAGATTTTAATCAATGCCTTTTACATTGTCATGTAAGCTTTGCCTTCATTTTTGAAATATCAACGGAAATTTTGATAATAGCACAAATCTTAATTTGCATCTTTACCCTTTCAAAAATTCATAACAAGGGATTAAGAATGATTACATTTTTCCTTTTCCTATGTAGTTCATCTGATCTATCCCATTGTTGTCCGTCAAAATTTATCATCCACTATTTATGCAGCAACATAGAGATCTTGCACGTGAAGCAGTTCAAAAGTCCTTGGTTCTGTTGAAAAATGGAAAGCATGGTAGCAAACCTTTTCTTCCTTTAAATAGAAAAGCCAAGAGGATTCTTGTAGCTGGAACCCATGCAGATGATCTCGGGTATCAATGTGGAGGCTGGACTAAAGATTGGCAAGGATCCAGTGGGCGTATTACAATTGGTATGTGATAAAACCCAAGCCAATTTGAAACTGAAAATAGTTTTCTGATATTGATTTAACTCAATAAAGCATAACAGATACTCTCATACATCTACTCTTGTATCAAATTGACACACTGAAACGGAGAATAGTTAAAATGGTAACTCCAAATGACCAAGCTAATTGGATAGAAGTCCGATTTTTTTGGGCCTGGAATAGAGGATTTTATTTATAGAAAACTTACATTCTCCTCTTAAACTCTCAATCTATGTGGGTCTAATGGAAATGCTCCCTCTGGTCCTATATATTGGTCATCCTCTATAACAAATTGCAGCCCTATAGATTGATCACTTTGCATAAAAAAGATAGAGTATTACTTAACTTCTTCCAAAACCATCCTTGTTTCCAACTTTCTAGGATTTTTTATTTAATTCATTTTTTTATGCAGGGGGTAAACTTGGAAATTGATTTCATTTTCAGACCAATTTAATGGTTTAACTACATTTCCTTGGTTCCGTTGAAATAATTATTAGTGACCTATGTTTCGGACCGAAGGAAGTATTATTCAAGCAAGTCTTCCCTTTATCCAAAGCCTTTCTACTTCATTTGAAAATAAAACTCTATTCTTAAACATCTAGATATTTCTTTCCAATCTATAACTCGGAATAGTTCTGCAACAATTACCTGAATCCATTCCCTAAGACCTCTTATGCATATTTAAGATGTTTTTGTTTAGAGGATGGGAATATTTCATCTTTGGTTAGTGCTAATGCTAATTTCTCATGTTTTCTACCACTGTTTTACTTTCTTGTGCCACGTGCTTGCTACACTTAACCGTTGCACGCTATTTTAGGGACAACCCTCTTGGAGGCCATTAAGGAAGCTGTAGGAGACGAGACAGAAATTGTTTATGAGCAGAATCCATCAAAAGATACCCTAGAACGTGATGACATATCTTTTGCCATTGTAGCTGTTGGTGAAGAACCCTATGTTGAGTTTTTCGGTGACAATTCTGAGCTTGTAATCCCCTTAAACGGGCCTGACATTATTAGTTCAGTCACGGATAAATTCCCAACACTAGTTATTCTGATATCTGGAAGACCCTTAGTGTTAGAGCCATGGCTTTTAGAAAAGATTGATGCTCTTGTTGCTGCTTGGTTACCTGGCACTGAAGCTCAGGGAATCACAGATGTTATATTTGGAGATGCTGACTTTAAGGGTCAGCTTCCTTTGACTTGGTTTAGAAGAGTTGAGGATCTTGATCAACCAAATTTTGGGGTTAATATGCATGATCCTTTATTTCCGCTTGGCTTTGGGTTGACATATTCTATGGACTAAAACCTCATTTTGGTCAGACCGAATGGTCTGCAATCATAAAGTTGTGTATTCAAGAGGAGTGATATAAACAAATAAGACTAGTATGGAATGTAGTCTCCCTCTTGTCACTCTTTCTTATTCCTCTATATCACTTTGTGATTGCACTACTTGAATTAATTTACAAAAAAAAAAAATTAACATATTTTGGTATTAGTTCCTGTACTTTTTGTTTTTGTTCAAAGTTTCCCAAGTTTTGTTTGCTTGCAATGATATCCTTATTGTCATTGATGAAGTTAAATCTATTGATGTGTACATAATTTCATTGTTGAGTTAGTAAAATTATGATGAGTTAGACATTGTATGAGCAAAATTGTCATTAAAATTCTGCCTATATGCCCTCACTGTTGTGTTTCCTTAATTTTGAAACTTCATCCACTGCATGTTTAAGGATCCCAATTTAATTTTTTTTTTCTTTTTTTTTTTTGGCTTTCTACTAATTTAAGGAAATCTTGACTTTAAGGGTCGGCTTCCTGTGACTTGGTTTAGAAGAGTTGAGGATATTGATTTTGATGGGGTTAGGTTATATGATCCATTGTTTCCTCTTGGCTTTGGGTTGTCATATACTGAGTACTAAAATCACATTATGCTCAGATTAGATATTTTACATTTGATGTAGTCATGTATTCACAAAGAGAATGACAAGGAAATGAGACTAGTGGGGGTTTGGTTCCCCTCGTTAGACTCGTATTCTTGTTTCTTTTTACCTCTTTTTGATTGAATTATATGTATTATCTTTTGGTTGGAGAAAACTTGAGTTACATTTTCATCCTTGCAAAAAAAATAAAAAATTGATCCTGCGCAATTACTTTCAATTGACTGTGTCAAACGTAGTCAAATTTTTTATTTTTTTTTCAAAATCATATAATATTTTAAATTGAAAAATTGTTTAATATTTTCTCGGTCCCAATTTATAAGACTATTTTGGAGGTAATTTGGTATTCAAAATATAATATAATTTGACAAAAAAAAAGTTTCATTAAATATCATTTTCTAATATTACCTGTTCCTTCTTATTATATTTTTTTCTCTTTATTTATTGTTTCACAAATAAGGTTATATTAAATAAAATGTTTTTTTGAATATATATATATATATATATATATTAAAATGAGGTTTAAAAATGTATTTAATAAGTTTTATTGATATATATAACTTTATTTTAAAATGCATCTTATAAACAGAAACAGAGATAGTATCTCATTGCTGTACTAAAAGAATGATGTTTGAATTAAATTATACTGTTTTAGCGCATGAGAATAATCTGTGGCATAATATCAATATGTTTATGTTACCATTTTATGTAACAAATTTAATATATGTTTTAGTTCCCCTAAACCAACAACAACAGCACTAACAGACTAGTTTATCTATTCAAAAGATGGACTTCTGTTCTTTTCTGTTACTTGGTGCTGCTGTTTTGACAACAAATCTCAATGTTTTACCTCTATTTCTGTTTTATTTAATTTTTAATCAATGTTCTTTTAATAGTTTATATTTCAAATACTATTTTAACTTTGTAATATGCATATTTTAAAATTATTTAAAAAAAATCTAGATTAACAATTGCCACGTGCACCTGATCAATTCTCTCACTGAAGCCATGCTAATGGAGAATAGATTTAAGTAGACTTGACCATGCAAACTTGAGGAAAGGCTAAAAAGTAAAAACCGACACATATATTGCTTCTTTTCTAATTATGATTTTGAGTTTAAACGTGATTTAAAAAAAAAAGCAATGTTTGATTTTGACACTCTTAAGTCTTAACTATAGCGCTTTTGAAAATAGTATTATTTGATAACCATTCTCTGCAAGATTCAATTTGAACTTTAAAGCTGCAATTTTTAGCCTCCCAATATTTTTTTCCAGATGGTTTTGTAGCTTAGTAGCATATAAGTTTTCTTATAAGTGGGATATCACAACTTCATTTTTACTTGTAATCTCAAATTATTAGTGTGTACCATCTAATTCAAAAATAGTTTTTTAAATAGACACTATATAAACATTTTTTGGATGTATGCATGTATAAACATTTGCATGAAGCATTTATTTCTAGTTAGAGGATAATTACATGTCATCTAGAATGCCTTTAGAATGACATAGGAATCATCATGTCTTGGTTTTCAAGGTTGTCTTCTCTTTTTTCTTTTTTTTTTTCCTTTCCAAAAAGTAGATATTATTCCTTTTAAGTCCAAAAAATCAAATGCCCCTCTTAATATAATTTCTCTCTTTTTTTAACAAATATAAGAATCAAAACTAGTCCTTCAAATCCTATTTATATAAGGTGTTTGAGTTTTTTTTTAAACTTATTTTAAGAAAAGTTACTATAGTGTTTTATTTATTAAAAACACGTATCAACTTTTCAATTATATCCTAAGTAATTAAAAGAAAAAGTCGAGTCATCTTATTATTTGTGGAAATGTTTTCTCAAATTGAAAGATTATTTCATCTTATTATTTGATATGTTATAATTTAATCTACTTTTATTTTATAAAACACTTTATAAATAGTACCAATATAGTAAATTCTTTTTTAATAATATACTAGTTCTCTTAATTAGAGCTAGCAAAACAGGCTAAACCCATTAAGTCCATCTATTTAAACCTTAAAATAATTAAGGTCATGTCATTGAATTAGAAGGTATAAATAAATTTTGGGCCGCCTAATGAGCCTAGAAATAAAAAGGCCAACCCTTTTAAGCTTGATTATTTTTTAAAAAAAAAACTTCAAGTAAAAATTAAAAAACATCAAGTGCTTATCATACTTCAAGTCTTTTATCATTAACATCAATCACTTTTGATAATGCATTTTATGTATATTTTAAATACTTCATCAATTAAATTTGTTATTTTCTAATCTTATTTTATTTTTTTAGTATTTAAGTGATATTTCTTTAATCCTGTACAAATTATAATGTAGGATTATCAGAATAATTATATAAGTATGTATGCTTTTTTATGGACAAGTCTGAATTAGAGAATTATTTGGATAAATCAATACTAAGTCTCATAATTTGAAAGAATTAGATATTGAGTTAGTGAAAGAATAATCAATATCAATTTTCAATTCTTTCAAGGATGACTACTGATATTCTTAATACTTCAATCATTATTATGGCTAGTGAATTAGTTTTTAATATTGATTCTCATGTTTTGACAAAATATTAAAATTCTCTTATTCCAAATAATGTTATGTCTATTGTTTATATTTGTAATTGGTCACACAATTTTGATAACATTGCTATGATATTAAATTTGAATGTTTAAACTTTATGAATTTGTTGTGGATTTGCTTAAATTTATTTTTTAGACTTAATTATGTGAAATATCTTTTTTAAAAATTATAAGTGTATTTATTAAATTTTTAAATTTAACAAATATTAGGACACAGACCTGCAGGGTCGGCCCTATAACTCTAAGGGTTAAGGTCGGGTTTTAAAATCATGAGCCCTAAAACAATTTCAAGCTTTTCGTGCTAGGCCTTTTTAGGCCTTGGCCTTCAAGGATTGATTTTTTAAAGTCAAATTAACTTTAATTATCGACTCTACTCTTAATCATGTGTTTTCTCAACTCAACTACTGGCTCATACCTAACCTTCATGCTTCAATTATTGCAACATATAAAATGGAGGTTTTTTTCCAAAAAAAAAAGAAGAAGAAAAAAGAAAAATGGAGATTTTCATCCCTAACCTAATACTCTCTTCATCCAAAATTATAAAATATTTTTGAATAAAATTAAACATACCAATAACATTCATTAAGTACATTTCATAATTTTATTTTTTAAAAAATAAAAATATAAATTTTCAAAAATATCCTTCATATAATACTTTATTTATGAAATAATATTAAAAAGAGAGAATATAATGGACATATAATATTAAAAAAAGTATTATTGATAAAATTTTATTTTTATTAAAATGTCTTACATTTTAAAATGTTAAAAATATTCTATAATTTGAGGTAGATGAATTATTATTTTGCTTTGACCACTGATACTCTATGGCCTACAATTCTTATAACCCCTTAAACGGCAAGACCGGATAATTTGTGAACGATATTAATGAAGTTGGTACAACTCCCTCACTTATATCAATTTCATGCTTTTTCTTGATTGAACTTTTTTTTTTTTTTTTTTGTGTTCATCATAGATGCCAGTGTCACCGTAACTGACCAAGATAAGTTTAAACAAAAAACTTCAAACAGAAAGTCATATTACAGATTACTTGCCTTCCATAGACAAGTTTTCCCAAAGTTTAAGCCTGAGATATTGATGCATAAGTATTAAGTCCTAATCATCATTGTTTCAATCCTAAAAAGTTTGTACACGATGTTATGGTTTAAAATATTTAACTTATATTAAGATTTTCGTGTTTCATTATTTTATAATATGAAAAAAACTTAAATACCTAACTTTATATGTTTAAAGTGCTTATTTTTAATTAAATCAAAATATATGTATCTATAATATATTGTTTATTCTATAATATTATTTATTCTATAATAAATTTTTATTACTAATATTATTAACATATTAGAAATCACATATTTTGATTTAATTAAATAAAAGTATATTAAGTATATAAGAGTAAGTATATAAATCTTGCCGTTATGACATCATGTATTTTCTTATTAAATTTTGAAATACATTTTGTTGTAAATATGTTGATGTGAGTGATAATAATTTTTTTTTAGCAAAATAATTCTTATCCTTCAACCAAGGAATTAGGGTTTGATTTACAATCCTTAAATGAAGTAACTTTAATTGAAAAGGATTTGCCATTTAACTATTTACAAGCTAGTGTTTTGGAAATAATGCACATGGTAGCATGGAGGAAGAACGCTTGGCTTTTTCGTTTCCGATTTCCACTGGACTGAGATAGACCTCGTGGCATTGACCACCAAGCTACTCTTCATCTGAAAACGTTTCGCAAATCTACACTCTCCAGAACACTCTGTTTCTTGTTCGTACTCTTCTGAAGAGGACGAGTGCGATGAACACATTGGAGGACATGGATTGCGTGTACAAGAATCCAAATGAAGCCATTGAAGCTCGTGTCAAAGACCTTCTCTCCCGAATGACTCTGAAGGAGAAGATTGGTCAGATGACTCAAATCGACCGTCGCGTTGCAACCCCTTCCGCCATTAGGGACTTGTCTATTGGTATAATTTTCTCTCACCTTTTTATCCTCCAGTGATTTTAAGATTGTGATCATTGGTATTATTGTTCTTAGTTTCTTATATTTGCCTTCTTTTTCTTTGAAGGGAGTATCCTCAGTGCTGGAGGTGGTGGGCCTTTTGAAAATGCACTGTCGTCGGATTGGGCTGACATGGTGGATGGATTTCAAAAGTCAGCTCTCGAGTCCAGATTAGGCATACCGCTCATATATGGGATCGATGCAGTTCATGGTAATAATAGTATATACGGTGCCACTATATACCCTCACAATGTTGGCCTCGGAGCTAGTAGGTTGGTGCTTTGCCTTGAACTTGATTAGAATAATGGTACTCCATTTTTAGTAATATTTAAGCTCTAATTTTGTCTTTTTTCCCTGGCCATAAGTTCTAAAGTTGCTTGATGTTTGCTAATTATACACAAAGGGGTCGGCGAGCAGCATAATTGCTTCCTTTACGAGAATTGATGCTGTAACGGCTTGCTTATAATTACACCATTTATATTAATAGTATAAAGATATTAATTCATTTGAATTAATAAGAAATGCCGGTTTTCTTGAGTTTGAGTTTTCATTTCTTACTGCTGGCTGCTTGTAGAGATGCAGATTTAGCTCAAAGAATTGGGGCTGCAACAGCACTTGAAGTTAGAGCTAGTGGAATTCACTGTACTTTTGCTCCTTGTGTTGCAGTAAGGCATCATAATTAACCATTATTACTTAGATAACCATGCTAATAAACCACAGTTGATATGTTATTTCGTTTTTGTTTTGCATAGTCACATTCACCTGTTTGTTTTATCAGTGACTAATGACAGTTAAATCAACATGATTGACTAAGATATATGCATCAACATACGTCTTGTACTGTATTTATTTAACCATCCCCCTTGGATTGTCCCTGTATTAAGTGATGGATGAAGTCATGTCTCACTTGAATGGACTAATGGACAGGTCTGCAAAGATCCCAGGTGGGGAAGATGCTATGAGAGTTTCGGTGAAGATACTGAGATAGTCAAAAAAATGACCTCCATAGTTTCAGGCTTGCAGGGCCAGCCTCCACAAGGACATCAACATGGTTATCCGTTTGTGGCTGGAAGGTAGATAGAAACTATAATACTATTCCTAGAGAAATATGTCGTCTATGGAAATAGTGATAATATAAATATCAGGTAACATCCCAATTGCAATGTATACTAACAGTTAACAGCAGGATGGTGTCATTTTCTCTGCTTCTTTTGTTTTTCTTTTTGTTTAACTTGTAGTCTATTCTTGTGATTTTTCCATGATTGTTCATGCCTTGGCTTAGAAAAGAAATTTTCCACTTCAGACTTCTTTTCGTTTCATCAGTGATGAAAATTTATGATGTCCCCGAAGTTTCCTTGCTAATATTTGTTTTTTCACATTCCCCAACTTCTGTACTAGAAGTCATATATTGGTTTTTATCAAAATTGTTTTCATACATGTCATCAATATTTTAGGAACAAGGTTATTGCCTGTGCCAAGCACTTTGTTGGAGATGGAGGTACTGAGAAAGGCAAAAATGAAGGAAACACGGAATCATCAATTGAGGAGTTAGAAACAATCCACATGGCTCCTTATTTGGACTGCATTTCGCAGGGGGTTTCAACCATTATGATTTCTTACTCTAGTTGGAATGGACGCAAACTCCATTCTGACCATTACCTTATTACTGAAATTTTGAAAGGAAAGCTAGGTTTTAAGGTAAGTCAATCATGAAAGGAATAAGTGCTGAAGTTATCTGTATTTGCTATTCTGTCTCTTCTTCAGAAAGGATAAGAGTCCTTTTAGTGTTTTTATTTTAAAAAACTACACCACCATAACCAAATTTACTTTGCTTTTGCATCTGTTTCACTGCATTCAAATTAATCATATTGTTCAATTTATAGGGTTTTGTAATTTCTGACTGGGAGGCACTTGAACGGCTTTGGTCAGAGTACCCAAATAGCATCCCCATTGGATCAGATTACGGAAACTGCATCTTGTCAGCTGTTAATGCTGGAATTGACATGGTATGGATCTTCAATTCTGGAAACCTATATCATGGTTTCTTTTTTTCTTGTCCCTTTCTTTTCCTTCATCTTTTCAAGAAAATTTGCAGGTGATGGTGCCTTTTAGATTCCAACTATTTATGGAAGAGTTAACCTCCCTGGTAGAATCTGGGAAAGTACCAATAGCCAGAATTGACGATGCCGTTGAGCGAATTTTGAGAGTGAAATTTGTTGCTGGTCTTTTTGAATCCCCTTTGTCTGACAGATCGTTGCTAGATATAGTTGGCTGCAAGGTCAGAACAATTCAGCATATTTTCAACTTCCCTTCACAATTTCAGGCTCATTTATCATTTTAAAGACTTGCCATATATCCAAATTTGATCGTGCTGAATTTTTTTCACTTAATCTGACGTCTTTACCCATAATTTTAAGTTGAATGTTATCCCTTCAATTGCATTTGTACATCTCACTGTATTTTGAAAGTTTTCTCATCTTCTATTTCGTAAAGCTGGCTTGAGGCATTAAACATGTAAATATCTTCCAACAGTTCGATCCTTGTATTCAATTTCCTTTATCAAGAATTTCCACTTTTCTTTCGTGACAAGAATGACAGATTAGATTTTAACCAATGCCTTTTACAGTTTCATGTAAGCTTTGCCTTCATTTTTGAAATATCAACATAAATACAAGTACTACAAATCTTAATAAGCATCCTTACCCTTTTAAAAATTTGAAACAAGGGATTTAGAATCAATTACCTTTTCCCTTTCCTATATATTTGTTCTGACCGATCTCCATCAATGTCCTTCAAAATGTGTTTATCATCCGCTACCTCTGCAGCAACATAGAGATCTTGGACGTGAAGCAGTTCGAAAGTCCTTGGTTCTGTTGAAAAATGGAAAGCATCATAGCAAACCTTTTCTCCCTTTAAATAGAAAAGCCAAGAGGATTCTTGTAGCCGGAACACATGCAGATGATCTCGGGTATCAATGTGGAGGCTGGACTAAAACTTGGTTTGGATTGAGTGGGCGGATTACAATTGGTATGCCTTCAATTTCCTAGCATTCTAAATCTGCGTGTTCGTTCTCATAAATCACAGATGGATTGTTTTTGCTTCTCAACTTAGTTTATTTGCCATGAAGAGCTATTGATTTTGATTAGCTCATGATTATTGAAATTCATTACCATTGGGACCTCAATAGTGAAGGAACATATAGGGAAGGAAATAATAGAAACATCACAAATGTTTATCCTTTGTAACATTATCCCTCAAATAAATCTAAATCGGCAATTATCACACACTAATTCATAACTCTTCATGATGCAGTTTTGAATGAAAAAATTGTTAAACTTTATCCATATACACAGCTTTGATTAGAAAAACTGTAAAATCCTTTCCAGGTACAATTTTGAATGAAAAAATTTGGAGTTCTAGACAAATCACAATCATCTAATCTTATGCTTGTTTGTAATGCCTAAATCATTTGATCATGACTACTTGACACCTCAATTGCATCCTTTTGGTAATCTCATGAGTAAGAACTCAGATTCTCCGATTTAACTCTTAATCTATGTGGGGCTAAAAAGTATTGTTCAAAGAAATCTTCCTTTTATCTGGAGTCCTAGATATTTCTACCAATCAAACTGTATTCTCACACGTGTTTGTTACACTTAACCTTTGCACGCTATTTTAGGGACAACGCTCTTGGATGCCATTAAGGAAGCTATAGGAGATGAAACAGAAATTATTTATGAGCAGAATCCATCAACCAATACCCTAGAACGCGGTGACATATCTTTTGCCATTGTAGCTGTTGGTGAAGCTCCTTATGCTGAGTCACCGGGTGACAATTCTGAGCTTGTAATCCCCTTGAATGGGCCCCACATTATTAGTTCAGTCGCAGATAAATTCCCAACACTTGTTATTCTGATGTCTGGAAGACCCTTAGTGTTAGAGCCATGGCTGTTAGAAAAGATTGATGCTCTTGTTGCTGCTTGGTTACCTGGCACTGAAGGTCAGGGAATCACAGATGTTATCTTTGGGGATCATGACTTCAAGGGTCAGCTTCCTGTGACGTGGTTTAGAAGGGTTGAGGATCTTGATCAACCAAATTATGGGGTTAAAATGCACGATCCTTTATTTCCACTTGGCTTTGGGTTGACATATCCTAAGGACTAAAACTTCATTTTGGTCAAAGTGGATCTTCTGCAATCATACAATTACACATTCCTGAGGAGAGAGACAACTCATTCTCATTCCTATTTATCTCTTTGTGGTTGTACTATTTTTCATTTATTTTTGTTATTGCAGAAGATCTGTATTGCATTTTGATGTTGAGAAGTTGTTTTATATAATTGTTGTATTAATAGGAAACGGTTGGAATAAAATTATATTGTTAGCACCAAAGTGATGCGGAATAACATTTAAGGAGTCAATTGATATTGAAATAATCTTCTTGGGGTTCAAAATAAATTCTGGTCATTATTTATTGGAAAAACATAATTTTTTATTCTTATAATTTTATTGAATTTTGCTTTTAGTCTCTGTAGTTTTTGTCCTAGTGTTTTTAGTCTCTATAGGGATTAAAATCATTGAAAAATGAAAACTATAAGAACCTTGAAGACAAAAGCGATTTAATCTTTTTGAAATTATAGGGATTAGAAACTTGAACAAAAAAATTATAGAAACTAAAAATAAAATCTGATAAAACTGTATGGATAAAAAATTGTGTTTTTCCTTATTTATTATAACAAGCTTATAAGACGTCAATAGTCAATATGAATAGTGTATGACATGTTCAATATCAACATGTAATGGTCAAAAGAAAAAAAAATTACATTTAAGGATCACTCAAGCAAATTATTTACAAATAAAAACTAATACAATATAAGTTGTTATTAAAATGGGAATGTGATCTGTTTTTAATCCAATGAAACTTGTTGTTAATCCTTAATTGTGAATAATTTATTTGAGTGGTCTTTAAATGTGATTCTCCCATAAAAAAATATCAATGTATCAATTCTATTATTTATATATCAAATTATGATAGATCTTTTGTCAACCTCTATAAGCTATGATAGTTTAACTTTCATCAAGTCATAGGCTAACTATTAGTTTTGACCTGAACAAATTTTTTATATTTATACATTCAACTATTCAAATACTTGAAAAAGAGTGATATAATCTAATCAAACAAATAAAAAAGAGTGATATAAAGAAATGAGGTATTGGCTTTGCTTCTCCCAAGTCTTTCTCTTTTTGCTTTTTCTAGATTGCATATAAGCATCTTTTTTTAAAAAGGAAATTTTGACAAATATAGATACATTTATTATCAATGATTCGAATATTGGTTCGTTATGTTGTGAAAACTAACTTTTTTGTTAGTTCTTTTAGTTTATGAAAAAAAATTTTGCACACATCTCCAATCACTTTTATTCTTTTGTTTTAGATCCCCCAACAATCTTTCAAGAAGTTCTATCTTCTTTCAACTTGAAAAGACAAATAAAAGCATATTGCATTGCCTTGTATTTTCCCAGGTAAGTATATGGAGTGGAGCAAGGAGGAGGCTTTTGTTGCAAAGGAAAGTCACCATGATAGTTGATAGTGGCATGAAGGGGTATGTTAATATCTTGCAACTTGAGAGATGACAGGTTAAGGAAGCTGAAATAACATGGAGAATTTAACATGGGAAGTAAGGAGCAAAAACATAGGCCTAAAAATTAGTGGAAGTGGCAATGTAGTTTATTAGGCTTTTAGATAATAGTAGAGAGAAGAAATTATTATTATTATTATTATTATTATTATTGTATTCAAATGAATTTGATGCGATGTTCTATATCTACAATATTTTGGGGGAAAAAAAATAAATGTTAGCATCAGACATCTTGTGATTCTATTTTTATTTTTTTAATAGTATAAAAAATAGATTCCTCTAAAAGGAGAGATAATCTCCCTCAAGGTACTAAAGGAGAAAAGATATATCTTCTCTCAACTAAATTAGGACAAACACAAATGTTGAGATTCAAATTCCTAATCACTTATTTAAATGACAAGAACTCTTACTATTCTTGCTAACTTTAATTGGTATGATTCTGTTTGGGTTAATGAGCAAATAGGACCTTAAACACTTATTCGAAAATCCTCCTAGATTCTAAACTTTTAAAATATATAAAATAAACCTAAACTTTTATATTCATAGCAAAATAAACCATGACCTTAATTTTTTTAACATCGTTACTATCCATGTGGGTATTGTAATAGTCAGAATTAAATTTATAGGAAAATAAATTTTGAACAGTATCTGCATAGACAGTAATGGTGTTAAAAAATAACAGTCAGGGTTTATTTTGTTATGAATTTAAAATTCTAAGATTTATTTTATATATTTTAAGAGTTCAAGGTCTAGAGCAATTTTTAAATAATAGTTTAGGATCTTATTTGCTCATTAACCCATCATGTTTTTATATATATAAGTTACGATTCAAACCTTTATGTGCTAAACATATAACTTTTTTTCAAAAAATAAAATTAAATGATTAATTAACATAATATTTAACTATGCTTATTAAAAGAAGTATGGTTTTCTACATCCATAAAATTACCAGTGGATTTGTGGTTATATCGAATTCAGGTCTAACAATAAAAATTGTATGGTTAAAATTAGATTTATTTGTAAACTTTTTTCAAAGCTGTTGAATACTTTGTAATGAGGGTGGGGCAATATCTCTTTAAATAAGCAATATTGCCCTTTCATTAATATCAGTTAATTTAACCATTAGTTAACCCAAAAAATTGCAAATAATGACCTAGAAAATTTTAGGAAATGATCCAAAAATTTGCATAAAAAGACCTTATAAAAATTAATAATGATTAAGTTCTTTATAATACAAATAAATTCAAATGGACTAATGTTATTTTGTACTTACAAACATATGAAGATATCATTTTAATCTTATAGATTTGGACCTTGATCTCATCATCCTTTCTCCCCTTTTATTCTCCTCATCTCATCCCCACCTTTAGATTAAAAATTCAACAGTTCAGATTTAATTGTATTTATTTATTTATTTTAATGTCTAATGTTACTTTACAATTGTTAACAACTCAGGTCAAACTTTAACTAGAGTAAAAGGGCATTTCCGCCCTCAACTATTAACTTAAAATGTCTAATATCATAAACTTACATGTGGTGCAATTTGTTCCTTCCATAATTGAAAATGATGTGCTAGTCACCTTAACATTGAGAAAGTTAACTTTAATTATTAATTAATTGAAAAAAATTTTGATAAAAAAGGATCTCAAAAATTACAAAAAAACTCATAAAATTACATACATATATATATATATATATATCCTATAAGAAAATTAATATACGTTAAATTCTTTAAGTTACATATAAATAATATGATATAAATATTATTTCTACCAGCTTAAAAAGCTAAAATAAGATTTGACTAATCATTATTTTAGGGGTTTAATCAATAAGAATTTTCTCATACAGTATTTATTTGCAATTTTATGGGTCTTCTTTCATAATTATTAGATATTTTTTGTAATTTTTTGATTAATTAACCATTAAAGTTAACTTTTTAATAACATAGTGTCTAATGCATCACTTTCAAATATTAAAAGATAAAAGTATACCAGATGTAAGCTTAGGATGTCAGATACTCTTTAGTGAATAGTTAAGGGATAAAAAACCCTTAATTCTTTTAATGATTTAGATTTATCTATTCATTTATGTTTTATTATAGTACTTTTATAATAAAATTAAATCTTCACCATTCAATTTTTAATACGGAGGTGAGAATGTGATAAGGACAAGAAAATGGCAGTTTGAATGATACGAGGATCGAGAACCGATATAAATAAATATTAATCTACAGAGAAGTTTGTTTCTCAATATTTTATTTCTATGACCAAGTTGTCGATCAAAATTAACAGTAAGAGACAGGAGTTATTTCTTAAAGAACAAATGAAGTCACAGAAATCCAAGGAAAGAAATGCAGAGAGAACCTATCATCCTACATTACTCATTTATTTCTATCAAACTTTGCCTTCGCTTCTTACATTTCATTATTTTCAAACTTTTCAAAACTCACTCTTATATTTGGTGTGTGCCATTCAAATAATGTCCTTCAACAGCTATGGATCCTAGTAAAACAGAATGAGGGCTGGACTCAAGGGATATATTAAAAAATATATGGCAATGATGGAAAAGGTGGGTAAATATATTTTCTCGTTTTAAGAAAAATTATAAGTATGATATATAAATTTTATATTTTATGCTTTTTACTGTTAATATTTTACTTTTCCTGAACTAAATAAAAAATATTTAAACTAAAAAACTAGTTAGATTTGTAATATTTTAGTGATCAAGATAAAAAATAAGAAGTATATTTACATCAAAGATTATATCAACCTATTCAATATAATTAATGATGATCAATTTACTTATATTTATTAACATTTTAGTCCAGTGTAATTATTATTTTTAATTATTAAATATTTATTTTAAAAAATTAGTATTTTTAATTAAATTATTTTGCACCCTTTATTTTAGATCTTGGCTCCACTACTGTATTTATTAAATTAGTATTCTGATCGATAACCCATAACCCATGAGCTTCTTAATTTGTATAAATTTCGTGATCCTTCAATGCAAATTTTTTTAAAAAAAAATTCATAATTCATGAGTATTTGATCAGATCCATTCACTTTTCTCAACAGGCCAGTTGAATTTTCCTGTCACGCTTCATTTATCTAACTCTGATACGTAGCAACACCAGGGCTGCATTATGAGATCACAGCCTTAATGTATTTAATTAAATGCTTCCATTATAGTGAATAATAGGTAAGATGGAGACTTGGGATAAGGGGAGATACTTGAGGGTGGGTTAGTTTTATACATTTAAAAAAATAAGAGGACAATCTATTTGTAGGGTCGGGTGTAACATGATTTGATTAGGTCATGAGAATACGATTTGATTACTTTCTCTTGAATTGTAAAGATATTTTTAAATTCTACATATTTCATTCACTTTAATTTCTTCCAATATCTCTATTATCTAATTCTATCCTCAAGAAAAATGGAAACTACTTCAATAAATGAAATGAGTTATGTTTCATAGTAAAAAAATGTAACTTTACAATAGCCAAACCTTCCAAACTAATACTTTCTTCTTCTCTTTTTATGTGGGACTAGATAGTTTAGAATCCAAGGAATGAGGCGAAGAACCTAAACACAAGAAGAATTTCTTAGCAGAGTCTATTTGCACATGTCTGCTAGAGCATATAAAAAGCAAGATGCAAGATGATTTATTCTAGAAAGGACTATCATGACAAAGATATTTTTTTTTCTAGCACCCAACAAATAATCAATGATATGGAGCTTCAATGAAGAGCGAATATTATAAATAAGGGCAAATTTAGATATGAGGCTAATTGGAGT